GACATTTTTCATGTTATGACCTTTATTTATTTTGTCTATTGCTGGGGAAAATCAAAGGCTAGGGATTTGAATCTTCACGCTCACAGACCGTTCGTTCACATTGCTTCAACGGATTGCTTAAGGTTTGGATCTGATTGTCCTTTGCAGGTATCAGTTGGAGTGTTTGGTAATAATATTTGTTTATCACATAGCAATACAAGTCACTCTGAAGAAGAAATGAAGATGGGTTACAATATTGTTCGCTATGGTCGGCCATTGTGGCAGTCTATGTGGAATGGCATGACATATGATGTACCACGTGAGAGGTATCGCTACTTGGTGGACATAGCAATAACAAAGTTATGTGGTGGAACTCTTAACTGGGAAAAACACTGGCAACGATCTGCAACAGCCCTGATGGCTTGCACCATTTGCATCTACATATGTCCTCTATCACGCATGGCAAGAGACCTAGTCAAATCACATATGGCGACAATTATCACTGCTGAGGACTCTGGTAAGAAGCATCTCATTGGATATCCGTCAGAACCAATGTTATCAGAAGGAGCATTGACACTGCTATCGAGGCCTGGTGTTGAGCTTGATGTGCTGAAGGAGCTAGATTTAGTTGGAAAAGAAGGTGGGGTTATTGATACTGGCAATCGAGGAGAACTGTGTGCAAGAATACTGCTGTTAAGTGCAAGACGTCAGCAGATACTATCCTTCAGGGAGGAAAACTGTGAGGTATGTATTGAAATTCTTATTTATATACTTTACATCATCACTATCTTACTGTATCTCCTTTCATATAAAGAATTATCCAACGTTTTCTGCCCACCAACTGGTTACTGCATACCTTTGCAAACTGTTCTCTTCTGAGTTTCCCCATGAGAAATTCCAACACCTGGCAGCATATGATATTGGATTCACGCATTTCATCGCACTTGACCATACCCCTGATGAATCCACTTTGCAACTCTGTTGGGATAGAGGTGCAGCCATCATCTACCAGCGCAACCAGCCAGGTGCAGATATCGCACTAGTCATGTGCCACCGAGATGAAAAAAAATTAGCAGTATTAAATATACAGGTACAGTCTTTTTGCTCTAAACTACAATGATTATTGTGCTCTGAAGGATTGTGTCTTGTCTAGGTGAAAAATCATGCAAGACCTGAAAGCAGAGGTGTGCGGAATTACGCTGTTGCTAATGGCCTCCGGACATCAATGACACTGTGCAAAACATGTGCGCATTTGGAGGATTCTTCTGTTGGTATTTATATTCAAATTGGTAAGAGGGTGTTACTCTATTTTATACTGGTTAATGCTCCATGCAATCAGTTTATTGACTATGTGTATGAATTGGATAGGTGAAGCATATGCGAATAAACCAAAGTTTGAAACATACTACTATGGGGAAGGAAGAAATCGTCATGGGAATATGACATTTAACTTTTCTAGTGATGCTGAGGAAGCAAACAGACTGGTAGTTCTTGGCTTGAGCTGCTTCAAGCTTGATCAACAATATCATGAGGTCATCCGGAGCCTCCTGCAGTCCTGGATCGATATATCAATGATCTGTAGACCAACAGAATTCAAGTTCTTATGTAGGATGTTTCCAGTTGTCTATGGTTCTCATGCTACCAAAAGGTAACAGGTATACTCCTTCTTCATAGCAATAAGACTTTGTCATTAACACAAATATTTCAACAGGGCAAAGGAGATCAATAATGATAATGATGAAGACGCGAAGGATTATTTGATTAATAAAAGATGGAAATCTGATGAACAAGTGGAACAAGATGAGGAATGGTCTGAAGAATATGAATAGTGTGCATTTGGATATGTTGCAACTTATGCGTTTCTCCAGCGAATTTTAAATAAAATCCTTAATTATACAAAGAGCTTATGCCTTCTCCTGAGTAATTATTATGTTATTAATTTACATATACAAGTATCATTGTTGTCCTAAGAAATGTGAATGGTCTGACTTGTTCCGAGCTTTTCTATATTTTTTTTTTTTGAAAAATGAATCATGGTCACGGCAACGTCTGGCATAGGAAATGATGTTCATCATAGTGACAAGTACGTTGCAAAAAAAAATTATATAGTGTAATGTCTAACTGACCACTCTCCCGATATCGATATAGAATCTACGTGCTCGAAATGGATTTTCTGCTTATACGGATTAAATAAAGAATTAAAGTTTGAATACTGAATCGAATTCTTGCTATTATACAGTGTTACAAAAGTCTTTGAGCACGTATACTTAGCGGCATGACTGTCCACCATCAATGGCATGACAACGTTCCTTTATGGACGTAATTAAATTAATCATAAGTTCCAAACCAACGTATCATGAATTATTATCTGAAAACGTAAAACAAAAATTGAATCTTCATATAAGTATATACGTATAGGATTAAAACGCTAGAAAATATACATTGAATAAAATATTTTAAATGGATTTAAATAGGCGTATTTATGGCTCCTGTACTCCTGAAGAATGGG